TAAAATAGCCTCTGTAATATATTTGCATCATCAAATTAATAAAATAATCAGCAAATGAGAAATAAATGACAAAAAAAGAAATAATAAACAGACAATATCTCTAAAAATTATTATAATTACATGGTTAACTTGTAGATTATTAAAATAAGGAAAATGCAATGATTAACCATTACAAATGGTGTATATTTTGCAGCCAGTTTAGAGCAGTCATTTTGTCCTCTTTGAGCAAATAGTAAAGTTTTCTTAAAATAGTAGAGTCGTTTAGATAAAAAAAATTATTCTTTTATGTGTCTTCAGCTCTCGGGAAACATTAAATATGTTATTAACATGAAATATCGTCAGTTAGAAAGCAAATCGGAAGTAGGCTTAAGTAAAAAAGTGACACAAAAACGCAAATGCAAAAGTTGAATCCCGGACATTTTACGAGATAGAGAACCCAGACTGGATAAAGTTGTGTACAGTTTTGTTAAACTTAAGTTGCTATATAATTCCTAAAACAAGTCAAAATTAAAAGAACAACTTTACAGCTCAAATAATAATCAAGTTTTTATTGTAATTTAAATGAATAGGAATTGTAAGTGCTATTTAGAAATGATAAGCTTAACATTTTTTAATACCTCAAGCAATTTATTATTTTCTTTTTAAGTGTCATATACTGTAACTATGATTTTTTTTTAAAGAAAACACGGGAATAAGTCAGTTTCTGTTTGTTTTTACGTGTTCTAAGTAGTGCTCTTCCATGCAAGAGTTTGCTGCACAGTCCACATCTTGTAAACAAGACTGAAGTGTAAAGTGACTGTTTGCATGGACGATGTACAAGTAAACATGACAGCTGCTTGATACTGGCTGAAATGGAAGCAAGACCGAGGTTTGACACTCCCTGAGAACTGAAAAACTTCAGCTGTTCGACAGCTGTTTTACGGCCCTGGAGAGTAGAGCTTGGTCTATGAAAGTCTGAATGCAAAGTATGATTATTATTAGTGCTGAAAGTAGGCTTGTAATTATGAGTGCTGATCTGTTGAGTTTCAGGTAGCTGGCAAGCAGGTTAGGTGTCCAGACATACGACGTGGAGGGGGAAGAAGTTTGGCAGATCTGGCTCTGGTATCTTTTTCCAGATGGCTGCTTTGGAGAGGCTTGCTCTTATTAGTTGCAGGATAGTGAGGAGCTGTTTTTTGGACTCATCTGGCTCCAGTGCTCTCATGTACTTTTGGTGCACTCAGCTAATGTAGTGTGGATTTGTTTGCTCACTAGTGCAGCATAGACGAGTGTTCAACTATTACAGTTCCATGCTGACCTTATCAGACCTTTTTTTTAGATCCCCTACAGTTATTTATTTTTTTTTGCTCTTTCACTTGTTTTATTTGTGCCATTTTTAATATTAACAGTTCTCTTCAAGCACAATCTATATAAATAATTAACTTTTTAACCCAGGAAATAAGAGAATTTAAAACTCTTAAAATTAATCTTATGAACCCCAAACTTGTATATATTAAATGCTGTTACATTTTGATCTTTTTTGACAGTGTTCTTGTCATCACCATGTATACACTGCAGCACAGACACTTGTGGCTTACAGCTTTAGTATGTGACAGAAAATCAAGTTTCATGTTTGTGGGCCCTTCATTCTTGCTGTGTGTTAGTGAGCTGAAACACACGCCGGTGTCATGTGAGTACACGCATGATTAATTCATGGAGACTGGAGGTTAATGCAGTAACACACAGTTGGGCTCGCAGCACTTTTCATCTCTCTCACACCCAGTCTATCACTCAATTTGATAACTAACTATATATACATACATATACACACACACACACACACACATATTTATTTATTAGGGGTGTACGGATCTTGTTATGTAGATGAATGTAATATTTGCTTTCTATTTATTACAAAAACAGTACTGCAAGACACTTTTGGTTTTAACAAACCGAACTTTTGTAATTTCTTGTAATTGATTACAAATAAAATTATGAAATAATCAGCTAAATAAAAATAAATCGCAAAATATTCAGTACTGTGTGTTACTGCTGTTGCTGATTGTGCTAAATACAGAAATCTAATATTATAATTTGTACATCCCATGTTTATTTTTAGTTACATTCTCAATAAATAATTGAGCTATTCACTTATAAAATTTTGTTTCATTGCTAGATGAATCATTTTTGCATTGAATTATTCAGTGGCATATTTTGATGGCTGGTTCTGGTTAAATCTGTAATTGCGGCCTACAACTTTCATTATTGAGCGTCAAGTTAAATGTGTATGACAGTGATTTTAATCTTTACCATAAACATCAGTGGTTTTCATCTAAATTATAAACTATTCTCCCAGTACTTCTGTGTTATTTGACTGTTACTTCATTACTAACTCAAAAGACAGACTGAATCTCTTGATTTTTTCGTTTTCAGATATGAATGCAGCAATTCAAAGGATTAATAAACATGAAAATCACCATCATTTATAATTTGTTGTGTGAGTGTTAAGACCCCAATCTTTAATGATTAATTGGGCAGCTTACACTGAATGCATTGATAAAGGCTAAACAAGTAGTGACAGAAAATACCTTTATCATTAAACCCACCACATCCCGAATAACCTACCACAACTTTTTCTGTCATCAAAATATTTTAAAGGAAAACGTAAATGCTTTCATACATGTGATTTGAATGACTTGAGAGACGATCTCTTTGCAGTCGTTACAAATTTAGGATTAATCCACAACAAGTAAAAACAAAAGTATTAATCCATATAGGTCACGTGTGTTTTAAACCGTGGGTTGTCATCCGTATGAATCAACAGATATGCATGCATACAATTATTTTAATGTAGAACTATTGTTTTTTCATAATTATCAATAGCTTAATATTAGGGCTGCACAATATTGGAAAAACTGACATTTGCTATATTTTGCTATTCTGCCATTATAAATTGTGATATGGATACAATTTTGCTAATGATTTGAATATGTCAATTTCTAAATAATTGATAATTTTGATTGATTGGGATGATTCTGTAGGGTAGTGAATCTACAGGCATAAATACAGTTAAATAATCATTATCCCCCTTTGAATTTTCTTTTCTTTTTTTAATATTTCCCAAATTATGTTTAACAGAGCAAGGAAATTTTCACAGTATGTCTGATAATATTTTTTCTTCTGCAGAAAGTCTTATTTGTTTAATTTCGGCTAGAATAAAGGCAGTTTTTAATTTTTTAAAAACATTTTAGGGTTAATTTATTAGCCCCTTTAAGCTATATATTTTTTTCGATAGTCTATAGAACAAACCATCGTTATATAATAACTTGCCTGATTACCCTAACCTGCCTAGTTAACCTAATTACCCTAGTTAAGCCTTTAAATGTCACTTTAAGCTGTTTAGAAGTGTCTTGAAAACTATCTAGTCAAATATTATTTACTGTTATCACAGCAAAGATTAAATAAATCAGTTATTAGAAATGAGTTATTAAAACGATTATGTTTAGAAATGTGTTGAAAAAATCTGCTTTGTTAAACAGAAAATGGGGGGAAAAATTTAACAGGAGGGCTAATAATTCAGAGGGTTAATAATTCTGACTTCAACTGTATATACATCAAAGAAAAATAAACACATGAAATAAACTGTAGTTTATTGTTTTCCGAGGTGTCTAACAGCATTCCTACACAGTAATTAAATAATCAAATTTAAAATAAAACTGCATAGTCTTTATTTTATGAGTGATGTGCATAAAATTATTATTTAAGTTACAAACGGTAGAGCTTTTTGGGCCTAAATGCTTTTCAATTCCTCATATGGTCACAGGCCTCAAAAACGCATGAAAATATCAAATTCTAATCCAGACTCAACAATGATTCTGACGGTATGATAACCTTGGATATAAATATCGCTGATTCAGAGTGTCATGGTATTGTGATTACTGCTCTAAAATATGTTCTTTTTAAATGTTTGGGTAAAAAACTAAAACTTTTTTCCTCTTTTGAACACATTAGATTTTAATTTGGGAAACATTAAAATTATTTTGGTGCAGTAAGCATGTTAGGTTAAATAATTTAAATGCATCATTGACTTCTGCTGTCTTTATTAGTTTCAAACACAGATTTCTTTACATTTTAAAACTGAGTCTTTGGATATTTTTCTGCTAGAGATACTGTTGTCCTAAAAAAAAAACTATAAAAAATCTTACTCATACTTTAGGAACAGTATAGCACAATTTTTTTTAAAACCTCGACTTTTCCAACGGTGGTATACCTTGAAAATGGTTATCATACCATGCGAAGGATGCTGAAACAATATATTGTGCAGCCCAACTTAATATTACTGAAAGTTTTCATGTGTAGCTCTATTTTAACCAGGCATGGCATGTTCTAACCAGCTATGACTAGTGACAGTTATTTTGTTGGCATTGACACACCTACTGTAAAAACCCATTGCATGTAATTCCTGCTTTTCATTGCAGTACATTAAGCATTAAATATCTACCAATCAACAAGTTCTTTTGTTAAGCAATTCATATGATCGAGGATCATGGGGAGTGTTCACTGGGCAATTCTTGACTATTGCTAATGCTATAAATGTTTTATTCACTCTTTTGATAAGGCTTTATGATGGGTCCTTTAAATCATGCCTGATTTATGTTAATGTGTAGATGATAAAACAAATCCAGCTATGAGCTGTGGCCTTGTAGGGTGTGTGTGTGTGTATGCGCGTGTATGTGTGTGTGTGTGTGTGCGTGCGTGTGTGTGTGTCTTCTGTAATCCCTCCTCAGCTTGTCCTCAACATCAGTCGTGATGCTTTACATGGGTTTGATCAGAGCGGCTCTCAGAGATTAGTCCAGTCACCATCCACAGCTAGAGATAAACATGACACAGAAAAATTTTCAGGCCGGCCAGGCCCTACTGCTCAAACAGATGGGACGAGTGTAACCTTGAGCTGTGTTTTTTGTCTTGTTCTGACCCCTTCCACCCTCCCCTGCTCTTGCACTCCCTCCTCCTCATTTTCCCAGGATCTGAGCTCCAGCTCCGACAGTCTCGAGCTAGAGGCTGGTACAGTAAGTCTCTCACCGTCTAAAAACGCTGCTCTGTGCGTTGTGGGATGATGGCTGTGTCTGTTTGCAGGCGGGGTTGACTCCACAGATTCCTTCAAATGTGTGCCTTCAAGGTTTGCCATCATGCTATTCAGTGTCACGAAGACGGAAAACTGTGAATTTACGTGAAAAATCGCTAAATTTATTTTCATTTATAATATTGGAGAAACTAAATACATTTTATTTTGCTGTTAGCATAATTTGAGTAGTTAATTTTAACAGCATTTTGGGTGGGGAAAAAAAGTTGGTCTTTGCAAACTTTTTGTTTTAAAACAGATTTTATTATTGTAATGTTTGGGAGCCATCTTAAAGGGATAGTTTGGCCAAAAATGAAAATCACTCATCATGTACTCATCCTTGTTTCAAACCGGTTAGACTTTTATACGTCTTTCAGGGTGTCCGAGGGGTCTTAAAAAGTCTTTAAATATCTCCAATTTTAAAAACAAAATTCTAGGCCTTAAAGTTTTAAACTTACTGAAATATGGTTTTGTAGGTCTTAAATCATTTTAAACGGGTCTTAATTTTCCCTTGTCTATGTTAAGCTACTCAGTCGGTCCAACCAACAATCCATCTAAAAGGTATCTCTGTATTCAGATACCTGTGAAGGCAGGGGGAAAAAAAAGCGGAACAAAAGTTGATGGGGTGAATGACAGACAAGGAGAGGGAGAAAGCTACAAAAATCCAAAAATCTCCCACAGACTGTAACACTTCTTTTAAAAAGAAAAGATCTTTTGAAAAGTTGTAACCAATGACTTCCATAGCATTTGTTTGATGGAAACCTGTATATAGACATATCTACTATGAAAGTCAATGGTTACAGGCTCTCAGCTTTTTTTTAAAAAAAAAAAAAAAGCCATATTAATTGTGTTTAACAGAAGAAAGAAACCCATAAAGGTTTAAAACCACTTTAAGTTGTGTAAATAGTGAGAATCTTTGCCTGAGATATTCCTTTAAGTTTAGTGCAGACATTATTTTATTAATAACATAAGTTTTCTGGTGGATGTAGGCCGTTATTAGGGCTGGGTTCTTCAGAATATTATATTTTTTATTGTGAGTATATTACAGAAAATCTGAGTAATGTGTAAACTTTTTGTTAATAAACGATACTATAAATGTTATTTAATGAAGCATCTAATCTTTGTGGCTTTAGTCATTGTTTGGATACTCTTTTAAAACTAGAAGCATTAACAACTTGCATTGAATATATATATATCGTTCAATATGGAAAATAATTATCAAGATTGCGTTTTTGCAATATCGCCAAGCCCTAGCCTTTACGTTTCAAAATAAGTAATAAGACTCCATTTTGAATTGTGATATGAGCAATGTGTTCATGCGTGAACTGGTAGCATGCTTGCAAATACTTGTTCTTTGTGTGGTTGTTCTAGCTGTAGCTTTATTCAGTTAATTGGATGTGACGTTTTCTTCTCGGTTTCTTTTTCTTTTTTTTAATCAATCTTTGTGTAGGTTTTTGACTTTAATATTATTTAAATATGCGGCAGTGACATTTATTTTGGGTTCCGTGATCATCTGGAAGACCTTTGGTTTCTTATTGATTTATTTATTTATTTATTTATTTTAAACATGGCAAAGGCAAATTCTCTGTGAAGTATTTTAATTTGGTGGAAGGAGTTTTTCCTACTGGTGTTTTGGGTGTTCTTTTGCATATTTGCAAAGGATCGTGTCATTATTGGTTCTTAAAATCATTTCACGATGGCATTTGTTTCTGCAAATCTTTCGACATGGATTGCAGATATCCATGTGTCCTTTAACATCTATGAGCCACAGGTCGCACATGTGGAGGAGTTTGATGGGTCTTTCTCCACATTTTCCTGTCCTTGGATGACCTCATTTATTTGTGTTTAATACTTTTTCCTCATTTCAGGTGATGCTATCCATTCATGACTCACTTGCTTTCCCTTGTGGTCAGCTGTTGCTAAAACGCTCTCTCTCTCTCACCATTTCTGATTTGTTTTATGTCCATGCTTCACTTTGAGTTTAGAATGCTGTGCCGATCATGCATGCAGATTGTTTTTAAGCAGATTTGAGCACTGCTCCACATATTCCTGTGCTGAATAATAAATTGGTCTTGTGCAATAACTCATACATTCATAGAAATCCAGTAACTGATTTTATTTTATTAGTTCGTCCCAAAAAGAGACTTTGGTACGGTACTATTTCTGATACACAAGTATCAATTCAAAATGATGTACATGTTTATATATTTGTTTACATACACAATACCAACAATAATTTAAATACATACATAATCTGCCATGTAGTTGAGATGGGAGTTTTAGCTTAGGGAAAAATGGCACTTTTCATTATATTAGTATCGTACCATTAATTTAATGGTACTCACTTTTATTTATTTATTTTGTATCAACGTATTGTGCAACTTTTTTTAATGCTAAGTCTGCAAATCTTTTTGCATTGTGTTAAAATGTTGTTTCTCTCTTTTCCCTTCATCTTTCATTTCCTCTCTCAACTTCATTTCTCTCTCAGCCTGTGCGTCTGACCCCTCAGAGGGAGTTCATTAAGTCTCTGATGGGGATTGGAAAGAGGTTGGCCACTCTGCCCACTAAAGAGCAGAAGACTCAGAGGCTCATCTCAGAGCTGTCACTACTAAACCACAAGCTGCCTGCCCGGGTCTGGCTGCCCACTGCTGCCTTTGACCACCATGTGGTGCGCGTGCCCCATACGCAGGCCGTCGTGCTCAATTCAAAAGATAAGGTGAGGCTGTGCTTGCAGAAAAGTATATAAAAATTATAGTCTTTGGTTTTGGAAGGCCACATCCTAGACATAGCAGTTTAATTTAAACCCAGTTCACATATTTGTGGCTACTGCAGTTTATATCATCATTTTACCTGGTATTAAGATGATGGGTGTGAATTTTAATATTTGTGAGCATTTTGATACTTTCACAAATGTGTTCAGTCGAAATGCTTTAGTGTAAATTTAAATGTTTCACAAAAGATTACTTAATCCATGCAAGTTATTCCACTAAAAAAGTGTTGGTAATCTTTAATGGTCTTTTTGATCATTAGTGTTAGTCTTTCACTGTTGACATTAGTTTCATGGCTTCAGTCACAAAATGCTTAACCATGTACTGTAACTGTAACCCCCTTACAGTTAGTTTGCTACAAGGGAAAGCTTAAGCAACTCCAACAGTATTCTTTTTCAGTTATAAGTACATCAACACATTGGAATAAGTCTCCGAAACTTCTGGATTTTAATGCCGTATGTAAATTGTAAATTAAATTGCATCTTGACTATTTGGATCACTGAAAATGCTTGTTAGTTATAGATGAAATGAAGGCCCAGTCTACTATTAAAAATGTATGTAGGACAACTGCTTTTATGCAAACTATGAAATGTGTGCTTAAACAAGCTGAACATGTAGTTGTCATTAACATTTTAAATGCATATGAGAATTGTACTTCTCTTCTATATGTCAACTGTCCAAATCACTGGGAGAATGGTATGTCTTGTTGTTGCCAGGTCTAGTTAAAAAAAGTAGAACAATTGACAAGCCTATAATAAACCTGAATCCTATTGATTTATTCCAAAAAATAAGACACTTGCCAAAATATTGCAACCTGGATCTGTCTGATTAATAAGCCAACACAAACCAAGAGCCAGGCAACAGCAAAAATAGCTGGACATACTTTTAGAGAGAAGATGCCTTTTTTTGACTAATAAAATGTTATTCAATCAATACCATTGATACCAAATGTGAGATGCCAGAATTTTTGCTATGCCTAGCATGGTCACATTTACAGCAGATTCAATTGGTTTTCCCGATACACTGCAAAACCATACACTAATGTAAGGCATTCACGTCCATATTTACATGTAGTTGTCACTTCTGATACTTTAGATCAGGGGTCACCAATCTCGGTCCAGAAGGGCCGGTGTCCCTCTAGGGTTTAGCTCCAACTTGCCTGCCTGAATGTTTCGAGTACAACTAGTAAGACCGTGATTAGCTTGTTCCGGTGTGTTTGATTAGGGTTGGAGCTAAAATCTGAAGGACACCGGACCTCCAGGAACAAGTTTGGTGACCCCTGCTTTACATGCATATTCAATTCAAGTTCATTTGTATGGCTTTTATCACATTAATTATTGTTTCAATTGTTAAAGGTGCAAATTAAATTTGAAAAAGGTAATGTTATTAGTTAGCATAACATTATTAGTTACTAATAACTTGAACTCTTAAAAGCTATTGGTTACTAGTTAAAGTTATTGTATATAAACATAGTTAACCTGCAGTTATATAGCATGTAGGTGATGTCTATGTGTGCATGTTCAATGTCGTGTATATGATTACCGATATCACAGCTAAAGTGTTAAACTCTGCTCCGCCAGGCACCTTACTTAATCTATGTAGAAGTTCTGGAATGTGAAAACTTTGAGACGTCGAGTGTGCCTGTGAGGATCCCTGAAACACAGATTCGCAGCACACGATCTGTAGAGAATCTCCCGGACTGTGGCATCACACCCGACCAGCGAGCCAGCAGCTTCTCCACGGTTCCCAATTACGACAACGATGACGAGGCTTGGTCTGTTGATGACATTGGAGAGTTACAGGTGGAGGTACTCGCTTACAGCGAATATCAGCACATCTTCAACAGATTTCATGATGTTAGATAGCTGACCTTTTTTTTCTTTTTCCTCCTCAAGCTTCCAGAAATCCACACCAACAGTTGTGACAACATCTCCCAGTTTTCAGTGGACAGCATCACCAGCCAGGAGAGCAAGGAACCTATTTTTATTGCAGCTGGAGATATCAGGTACGCTGAGGCCCTGTGTGCGTTTTAGTTTTAGAATGCATAACTTTTGATAGAGTTACACCTCTGTCCACACTACCCTGGAGTTTTTAAGCCCCAATAATGAAGCATTTTTAAATCTGATTTTGAAAACGGAGACATCTGAAAACAAAGGCGTGGCTGCAGACATTCACCTATCTGATTTGGGCTTTTTCTCAATATTAAGTGCACAAAGTTCAGTCTTGCACCCATTCCTTGTAATTTCAGACTTTGCAATTTTGACATGGAATATAAACTCACAAGGACACGTCGAGTAAACCTTCAAAGGGAACAGTGTACTTTATTACGTCATTCACATCACCCTGGCTACATTGTTTAACTATCTTAACAATAATATGAAAACATGATATGTTGTGTAGCTACATAAATATATGACCGTCATCTTCACTGTTTACATATTTATAACAAAACAAAGCCTATAACATAAATGCCTTCTTTCACTTTCAATGAAAAATACAAAACATAACCTGTCTCTTTTGCAGAATATAAATTTTTAAAATCAATAACGACCATTATAAAAGTGTAATGTACAATAAGTTTATACAATATAGCAAATAAAGGCAAGCAATCAGTCAAACAAGCAGAATCAGTGTACGAAGTTACATAAATTATTATATAAACTTATCTTTGAGCTCAGCCAAAACACATTACCTGAGAACGAGTAATAGATTAAAAAAATCAAAGCGTCATTAGATAGAGACAAGATGAATTAAATATCATGTTTAACAACTACTGTATAATGAAATGAGATCCAGCAGTAGATCTCACTTGGGACGCACCCGCTGACTGCCTGGAGCTCAGACCTCCACATACGCTGCATCGCAAGCCAATGTGTGTATGCGGTCATGTGATGTGTGTTTTCAGCAGTAAAGTGTGGACTGAGATCTTTTCAGAAACACCAGGTGAAAGTCAGTGTGGACGTGGATCGTTTTCATTCTAAAATGGTGTTTTAAAACTAAAACGTTTTAGTGTAAAAGTGGCCTTAGAGTGGAGATGCTATAAAACCCCGTTCACAGCAAGCATGAAAGATGATGATGATTATGATGATGATGATGCATGGTTTCCGCTACATTCATTCTTCCATGGCGGGGCGCCACACCAAAATTCACCCAACCACAGCTAAATTACAGATTCTCATTCAAAACATTTATTTTTTTTTAATATAGCGGGTAATAATCGCACCAAAATGTATTAAAGGGTAAGTGAATTATAATAGCGCAAACTTTTCTGTAACCATAGTAGTGCTGTGCGTCATTTGTTTAACCCTTTAAGGTTATGATGATGATATAGAAACATTCTGAATGTAAAACAACAGCAGACTACAACTATAACGATAAAGATGCAGAGAAATGATATCATTGTGGATCACTTTCAGAATTTTTTTTTCTCCACTAATAAATGATAAAACACTGACAGTCAGTCAGAATTCATAGAAATATAAAGGGCTTCCACAATTTAAAGATCCAGACAACATTGTGGAGAAGCTCAGCTGGACGTTAAGCCTTTTTTTCAAAGATCATTTAAAGATAATGACTATCTAGAAAACAGTCGGTTGTACCATGCTTAAGAATGAAAAAAAGACATTGAAGTTTTGCAAGCCAGGCTAATTTTAGTTTCAGTAATTGTAGATGCTAGTTTCAGGATCTTTTTGTTGACTCCTTTGAAAATGCTAGGGAAAATAGCTCGATGTTTTTATTTCACTTCACTGACCACGAGTGCTACATGTGTTTAATTAGATGAATCAATTTTTAAATACAGATTCACTGGTTAGATGCGCACTGAAGACATCTGCTGGTTACAAGGGGGTAATGCCGAATAAAAAGCATAGACTAAAAATAAACAGGTTTTTATCATTCAGTGTGGACACAAATATATTTATTGTTTAATTTAGCATTTTAGCATTTTAATTTATTGTTTAATTTATTCTTGTGCTTTGTGTGAATGAATCTTAATCATAACGGTGAACAATAAGAAAGACAATACTTTTATAACTAATGTTTTTGTATTTTAGACGACGCCTGTCTGAGCAACTCGCCCACACGCCGACCACATTTAGGAAGGACCCAGAGGATCCTTCAGCTGTAGCCTTAAAGGAGCCATGGCAGGAGAAAGTGAGGTATGTGCATGTCTTTCTCTGAAAGGATCGGTTGTTTATTGGTTCATTAGTTGTGTTTGATTTCATTTGTCCTGTGCTTTTGAATAGGCGGATCAGGGAGGGCTCCCCCTATGGCCACCTGCCCAACTGGCGTCTACTTTCTGTAATTGTGAAATGTGGCGATGACCTAAGACAGGAGCTTCTCGCCTATCAAGTGCTGAAACAACTGCAGGTTGCACTCCTTAAATTTTGTCTTACAATTTGGGATTGGATTTTAAAATATACAAAATGTATATATCACTGCTAGTGTTTTATTGTGCTCGCTTACTTTCCCTTTTTTAAATTGTGTTGAAATAAAATCTACTTGTTCATGCTTTAAACCACAGGCGTCAAAGTCAGTTCCACAGCTCAACACAGTTTAGTTCCAACCCTTATTAAACACACCTGATCCAACTAATTCAGTCATTCAGGCTTGTTTGAAACCTACAGGTAAGCGTGTTGGAGCAGGGCTGGAACTAAACTGTGCAAGGCTGCGGCCCTCCAGGAACTGACTTTAACACCCTTGCTTTAAGGCATTTCAATTAATTAATAATTTTTTAATAATACATATTTGACAGAATTTTAGATTTTTATTTTATTCTTTAAACAAAAGTGGTTATAACCATTAGTAAAGTTTGCAGTTTTATCAGTTTAGTTTTACCAGAGTCCAATTGTTAAGATTTAATCTAAGATTCATTTATATAATGAGTTTAAAACATTTATGCTTCAGAAGTTTTGGTTCACTCAGATGTTTTATTGATGTTTTATGCTCACAAATGCCGAACATATTTAATAAAAACAGAAATTGTTTTTACAATTTAATCATTTCCATTCTAAAATGTATTGTATTTCTGTTGTGGAAGTGCTGAAATTTTTTTCATTGATTATATGATCCATCAGAAAAAATTAAATAAAACAAAAAACTTAAGTTGTGCAGCAGTTGAGTTGCTGATTTAATAATTTTATTTGTTTTGTGGAAATTATTGATACATTTATTTTTAGATTTTAAAAAACATACTGGCTGTATCTGAAATTGCATACTTTCATACTATATAGTACGCTAAAAACAGTATGCAAGCCGAGTAGTATGACCGAATTCATAGAATTAGATATACAGTGAGCGAGAAGTACCCGGTTGACCTACTACGTCCGGTAGGATTGGGTCAATAGACGATGTCATCGTCCAACTCCAAGTGCCCGCATCGCAATCCTTCACCCGGCCCCCATCACAGCAGCAACCTGCTTGCAAAAATACACACTCAGGCCCTGTTTACACTAATATGTCTTAGTTTAAAATGGCATTTTAGAATGAAAACAAACCACGTCCACACTGTCTTTTACCTAGCATATCTAAACAGCTCTCCATCCACACTTTACCGCTGAAAACACGCATCACGTGGCCACACACTTATACACACTCTGGCATGCGCACATCAGAGCTCCACGCAGTCAGTATGGGATGCTTTAATCACAAAACCCTAGAGTTCAGTGCTTGTTGGACAGTTATTCAATGATGTACTGCTGGATGGCGTCTCGCAATAGTTATTAAACCTGAGATTTAACTAATCTTCGTTCGCTTTCATGCTTGTACTTTGTAATTTTAGCGAAAACCTCAGAAACTGTTGGTTGTGCACCTTTTTTACCAACCAAATTTGTCGACGACATTATAATGACACAGATCACTCTGTCTATTCATGCCAGAGTCCTGTGGAAAAAGTGATGGACAGGTGGTAATTTGTGTGTAACTTATCTTAATTTATGACTTTTGGGTAAAACAAAGACCATGTGGTTCAGGTAGTTGAAATGGTAGGCTACAAATCATTAATTAATTATTCATAAATAATTAATTCACCGCCACCTATGATGACGATGTCATCGTCCATCGCGATGTTTCACATTAGACATTGCCCAACCCTAACTTCCGACAAGATTCTGAAGTGTGCATCAGATAGATGCCATGCTATCCCATGATGCACCGCGAGAGAATTCATGAATGGGAGTAAAGCGACGCAACTGATGTGGGTAGGTCACATGATGTGACAAAATGGTGGATGTTGTACGTCCGAGTTCCATTCATTTAAATTTAAATGCAATACCTACTGAGTAGTAGGCAGTTTCGGATGTAGCCACTATTACATTTAATCAAGTTAATGCTTCATTGTTGAATAAAATGTTGACCACTTTCCTGCAGAATTCATTCCAAACTTTTTAATGGTCAGTATTTTTACAAGTTTTTGTGCTCAGACATTGTAGATCTACTGGATGATCTAAACATTTCTTTGTTTTCCAGATTATCTGGGAGCAGGAGCGGGTTCCCTTATGGATCAAACCCTACAAGATCTTGGTCATCTCTTCAGACAGTGGCATGATTGAACCAGTGGTCAATGCTGTGTCCATTCACCAGGTAAAGAAACAGAGTCAGCTTTTACTGCTCGATTACTTCCGGCAAGAACACGGCAACTTCAACACAGAAGAATTCCTTACAGCTCAGCGCAACTTTGTTCAGAGCTGCGCAGGATATTGTCTCATCTGCTATCTGCTGCAGGTCAAAGACCGGTGAGAGAAACCACGGCCAGTAAAATCATGCTTGAACAGGAACTGAATGATTTGGATAAGCTGTTATAAACAGCATTGTTTTTCTCTGGTTTTCAGGCACAACGGAAATATCTTGCTGGACTCTGAAGGCCACATCATTCACATCGATTTTGGCTTCATCCTTTCCAGCTCTCCACGAAACCTAGGCTTCGAGACATCAGCCTTTAAACTAACCAGTGAATTTGTTGATGTAAGCACAGCTATGTTTATGTTATCCGTTCATTGTGTCCTAATTGTCGAAAAAGTGCTGTTCATAAAAAATATGAAACTATCAAATAAAAAAAAAATTGAAACTTTTGGAACTAGATCAGATTTAGACTCAAGTCAAGTCCATCTCAGCTTCTTCCACTGTTTTATCTCTTTGTGGAATCATAATTTGTCTTATGCAAAGCAGTGTTGATTTATATCTAGTTAAATATTCATTGATTTTTGTTAGCTTAACTGAGTCTTTACCAAGTGTGCCGCAAGCCTACGTTTGAGTGAAGGTTTCGGCCGTTAGATCGCCCCCTGGGGGCTGGCTGCAGTACAAGTCATAAAGCCCGCCTCCTCCGTGTTAATGAAGGAGACTTGAGCCCAAATAAAAAAAAATATTACACTTGCAATAAAATGTCCCGAAAGATAGTTCTGGTTGATTAAGGCACTGGTTATTGTGCTGAAATAGGTGCAGATCTTCATTTTTGTAAACAGTTTGTTTTTAGCAGTAATTTAATGCTGGGCATGTCATTGTGATTGACAGCTGTGATTGACAGTTTCTCAAAGCGCGGCGTCTGAGCTTCGGCAGGAGACTGAAGTAGACTGAAATGTTATTATTCGATTTCTGTGTTATTTTACCATGACAAAATGAGTTCAGCAGTAAACTATAGTTTCTGACATACATGATCCTGGTGGAACACTGTTTATTCGCTAAGTTCAGGGCTTTTTTCGGGCTTTATTAGTTTGCTGATACACGCCTAGCCACCCAGATAGCAAAACACAGTTCCGGCTAGATTCTCGCCTGCCGGAGACTTATCTCTTAGAGCTCAGACTGACTAATGTTACCTCTGCTGGACTTACTCCGGATGCCTGGACTCACTACCCAATTCCAGCCCGAGTCAATCGAGCCAGATGCGGCGGCCGAGCGAGCAGGCGCTGCCGCATGCGAGCCGGAATCAGCCCGCGACGCCGCGAGTAAGTTATGCGCTGCGGCCTGGAGCTGGCGCGATTGAATATATAAAACCCTCATATTTGTTAACGTTATTACATCCATTTGTGTTGATATGACAGCAAACGCATGCTGAGAAGTTCGGGGGGCGTGGTTGATTTTACACAAAGCGTTTGATTGGAAGCTCGACTCTGCTCATTTTCGCGGCTCCTCCTCTGGCTCCATCAGACAATCCTTCTGCGCATGTCTGGCTCCAATTTCAGCAGTCTTTTGCGACAGTTTGTGCCCGTCAAGCAGGCGTTTTGCCCTCAAGGCGTTCAATGGGAAAAAGGGCTGTCGCGTCGTCCATATTTTTTACAGTCATTGTACTGTCATTGTACTGCATTTACACTAGTGTGTTTTAGTTTTAAAACTAAACGTGCTCCTTGGCCATATTGGCATTTTACTGAGTTCCAGAAAAATGGTCTCCATCCACACTATTTACTCTAAATGCATAATATCTGACCATTTACTCGAACATATTTTGATGGTATTTGTACTTACCTCCTACTGGTTGTGTAATGGTCATATTAGAGTGGCCTGATGAATCAGGGAATGTTATGTAATGTTATGTAGAAGACTTGCCAGAGAGTGACTGTGGATAGCTGTGCCTCCCTTTTCAAAAGTCTACATTTCAGTCTGTCTATTCTATAACGAACACCAGCATTTGCAAACTAAAATAGGTATTTTGGCATTTTTAAAATGGTCTTTTTTGTGTAATAGCACCCCCTACTGTATAGCAGTAAAAGCTTGTGTAAGGGATAGTTCACCCAAAAATGATTTATATTTTTGAGTAATCAAAAATGATTACTCTCCCTCAGTGATTTCAAACCTTTGAGTTTCTTTATTTTGTTTAACATAAAAGAAGATACTCAGATAACACTAAAAACCTGTAATTATGTCATAGTATGAAAAACAAATACTATGCAGGGTTCAACGCTAAGGATTTTTCACCTGGCCCGATCGGCCCGATTATTTGCCCTGCCGAAATTTTCCCTGGCCACACCAAAAAAAGTAACATGCTCACAATATTAAATCCGATAAGAGGAACCTAAAAGTAATATGGTGAATTAGACATCACAGAGAAGGTAGCATTTAAAAGCACAAACAGCACAAACACAGGCAAATGAAACTTTAGTGACAAGGCAGCACTGGCCTGATCGGACCAGTAACAATTCTGTCAACTGTGCCAAGCATCTTTCATGCTGATCCAGGCCACCAGGCAGTCCATATAGTTGAGCCCTGCAGTGGATAAAGGCTTCCAGCAATTTTCAACACATCTTCTTTTTTCAACTTCTAATGTTTTGAAACAAGAACTATCCCGTTAAGTTCTATCAGTAGCAGGATACCATTGTAGATGGAAAATTTCATCAATGGTGAAAGAGTTCATTTTGTTTTATTCTAGTAATATTGACCATTTCGAATGATCATCTGCAAATTCATAAAGAATTATCAGTGTATGAGCAAAGATGCAACACAGCACAAATTAGGATCTTTGCATTTTTTTATCTATGCTATTCAAGCTCGAGTCCAGGTTTGAGTCTACCCCTTTCTTTAACTTCAGTTCCTGCCAGTTCAGTTTACTATTTTGTTTGTTAAAAGCAAAATTCAGCTGTATTATCATAATTGAAATATCTTCATCTCCTGTTTCAGGTAATGGGAGGTCTGGATGGAGACATGTTCAACTATTACAAGATGCTAATGCTCCAAGGCCTCATCGCTGCACGCAAGCACATGGAGAAGGTCATCCAGATTGTAGAAATCATGCAGCAAGGTACCGTTCATTTGAACCTTCCCTTTCATTGAACCTTCCCTTTCAACATCTGATGATGAGCTTCCATAAAGGTTATTGCACACTGAATCTGAAATTTTCGTCTATAATTTTTGCAGAGTAAACAAAAACAATTCGACCTCACGTTGTCTCTGAAACTTTCGTCTTCTGACAAAACGTTTTGAGAGTTGTTTTGACAGTTCAAAGCCACCGTACAAGCGAAAAGCTAAATACAGAATGCTGTCATTTGAGCTAACAGATTACAAACACAGTACACAAAATCAAGACAGAATGTGGTAGACAGTTGAGCACCCCTATATGCTGGATTCAGTGACTGCACAACACTGCCCTGCAGAGGTTTTGTGCGTGCGTGCGTGCATCTCCATAAATTTGAAGTACTGCCCATAGACATCATAATAGAAAGCACTGTCCGCTTTCGGTCCATTGCTTCGACATGTCAGCAGGGCCACCGTCTATTATAATGTCTATAGGTACTCCCAGTCTCTGTTCAGGCTTTGTTTACGTACGTGAATGTGTGTAGTATCACAAGCAATGGATCAAAACTACACTGATTTCCTGAAATAAACTCCAGCATAATCATGGTGCAGCTCTTTGAGAATGAGCTGAACTCTCCTTCCTCTCTATGTAGCCTATTAAATGATCACAATATGTCACATATTCCTCTATTCTTTTTCTATTTTGGAGAAGAGAGGAGAACAAAGCATCACTGCTTAAACTGACTTTTTTTCTGATGTTTTCTCGTTATGGAATAATTAATACACATTGGACTCAGTGTGCAAGGTTTGTTTACGTCACAAATGTTTCGAATTTGTATACGAAAAAAAAAAACGCATATGAAAGACCTTAACAGTCCGTGTGTCCTGCAGGTTCACAGCTCCCCTGCTTCCATGGCTCCAGCACTATCCGCAACCTGAAGGAGCGATTCCACATGAACCTGACGGAGGAGCAGCTGCAGGTGCTGGTGGAGCAGATGGTGGACGGCTCCATGCGCTCCATCACTACCAAACTGTACGACGGCTTCCAGTATCTGACCAACGGTATCATGTGAGAGAGGACTGGAGCGTTTAAAACTGGAAGAGAGAGAGAGAGAGAGAGAGAGAGAGAGAGAAAAAAAAGGCTGCACCACTTTAAATACCACTCCCTTAAGCACCCGTTTCTACACCTGTCAGACTGATTAGATCTCTAATGATGGATTATTTTTGTTAGTTTTTTTATCCTGACTGAAGAGAGCTGTGAAGTTACTGTTTGTCGTCTTTTTCATCAGCCTTTCTTTTCGTTTAAACCCTTCTCTTTTTGGTTTTTGTCATGTTGTCTTGCAGTACTCTGGATGCCCAGAGATGAGTTTTATCCAGCTTTCCAGTGCCTCATTTAAACACTAAGCTGCTTTGTGACTTCTGGTTTTACTCTCACCTGTGTACTGACCGACTTCAACACCCCATAATATCATCATCATCATCATCATCTGCTTTCTTTTTTGTTGGCATACCACTAATGCTATGTGTACACTTTGGATGAATAACATTCAAAAATTCAACATTGAGACAGGAAACAGGGGATGCTGAATCAAAGCCTGTAAATTGCATTGTGTACCGAGGGAATCGGGTGGTAAACGCTGCTGCGTTGTTCAGCTTTGTGAAGTCAGTATTACGTGAACCATTTGAGATATTCAGCCTAGTGCTGTACAATTATGAGACTGTCAAGTCATGAAATGCTCACTCAAAGTGCTCTCGTTCACCCCTGTGATGAGCACTTTTATGCTGTTATGGGGTCAAAGAAGCGTTTTTTTAATCCAGTATGGATGTGTTAATCGTCAAAACACCAAAGACAGACCATTGACGGCACCGATCACATGAGAGTTTTAATCTTCGGCTGATACAGAAGATAATTAGGACCTAATAAAAAGATCTCGGTCTGTTTTCTAGGTCAAAATAAATGTATAAAGAAACTGTTTTGAGTTTCCAAAGGTCTGGACTGAAATGCGTTGGACTGAGAGATATGCACACACTATTTATTGCCCCTTTTACACAGATATGTCATATACTTACACTCTCAACTTGTCTTCTGTGGATTTCATTTCACTTTGTTGTTTTGTTCAGCGCAGATTGTACAGCTAACCTGAACTGTAATGTGCATCTTTACAGCTGACCTCAATCTGAGGTGGGCAGCCATGTTTAATTGTGACTGTGAGCCACTGGAGTTTTTGTTTTTTTACTAACTAAACAGAGAGAAGTTGTTTAGAATCTGCTGCACAGGAGAAACGGAAAGGGCTATGACAAACAAAATCTACACATTAAGTCTTGTTTTTTTTTCCTACACATGTACAGGTATAAAAAAATAACTTCTTCTTTTTTATTATTATTATTTTATTATTATTATTTTCGTTAATTTGATAGAAGTTGAGGTGTGTGATGAGCCTCGTCTTATTTCCCTGTGATCTCAGTGCTTCTCTTAATAGTTTTAATTTAGCTTCTTTCAGCAGAAGCTATGATTTCCTTTCATTTGTTTGCCCGTGCGAGGGCAATTTAGATGACTTGTATGTTTCCAACAGCTTAACTTTTCTCTTTACTGTTTTATACTTCTATGGTTTCAGAGTCAAACTTTCCTTTTGAAACTTGTAAAATGGACCAGCTCTTAAGATCATGTGAATAACCTTCCTTGTGAATGTTCCTTTGTATAATAAATTAAATGTTCCCGTTCCACAGCTTGTATATTTCAAGCTTTTCAGAACCTTATGTGTGAGTGTGTGTGGTACCATCATATACAATAACTAGTAATAAATAATATTATTTAGTTAAATATAACGAACTATAAATTGTTTATAAATAATGTATCATATTTACTAATTGTTTGAATTGTGTTACATTAGAAATAAGTAGATCTTTACTTAAATGTTCTTCGGACAAGCATTTTAAAGTGCTTTATATATGCTTTTGACTCTCCTAAAGCATAAAAATGCCATAATATGTTTGCAGATATTTAAGAAACATGCGTGAACATTCTTGTTTATCTGAAAAGCAATATTGAAGTCAGTTATTCCGCTTTGAGTCATCCGTGACCGAAATGCGACTTCCAGTGGACCGTAGCAGACTCTGAAATGAGACACAGATTCAGAGTTCCACATGAGGTGATTAATTAGCTAGTTATAGAAATATTATGAGCGTAAACATTAGGTGAGCAGGCTGCATTGTAATCCCTTGTCCTAACAACACGCTATATGATGAGATTTGCAGTATTCTGACCAGTTGACATTTTCCAACGCAATCTCACGGCAATTTGTAACTTTTTAATTTAGTGGCTAATTTATATGAATTGGTACAATCTAATTTGTACAATTTAGTACGATTTGCTCATCCAATGGCGGTTGGGTTTAGGGGTGGCGTTGAGTGCCACGCCTCCTTTTTAAAATCTTTCATTTTCATACGACTGAACATGGCTACTAAACTTACAAAATGTAAAATACCTACATTTCTCATGAGATCAGGCTGCATTTGCAGACCTTTTTTTTTGTTGTCAAACCTTTTTTTTTTAATATATATATATATATATATATATATATATATATATATATATATATATATATATATATATATATATATATATATATAAAATGGTTATTTTTATTTACAACCTGTAAAGTTCTGGGTCAAATTAATAAAGTGCCCAAACGTTTTTTAATGAAGGGCCAAAATCCCAGTTTGGTTGAGAGCTGTGGGCTAAAAGCAAATATAGCAAACTGTATTACATTAAAGTGGCCATGGGTAATTTCCTCATTTGTTTCATAATATTTCAAAAAAAATTTAAATATATAATAATTTAACAAAATTATCACAATAATTTTTTTTTTTAAAATCCATTTCTAAAACACTGGAGTTCAATGTCGAACACACTAGTCACCTGCCTTTGCCTTAAATTTGCACACTGATGTCTTCTGATTTGACCCCTATTCGCCTAGTGACAGTATGTATTTATTTTTAATATTTTTTTAGAAATCTGATTCATTTACAACGTTTAAGTGAAACTTATTAATTGCATTTTTTCGTAGCTCAACAAACCAAAGGTTACATGAAATAGAAATGACAATCTCTGTTAAAGGCATTCCCTAACCCTTCCCAATCATTTTCCCTCTGGTGGGCCATATCAAAGGATAAAAGTGCCAACTTTGGCCTGCGAGCCCTAGTTTGGGCATCACTGCACTAGATTCAGGGCTTGCCCATCGTCAATAAACATCTTTTTTTTTCAAACTGAACTTACAAACAAAATGGTACATACTTACAATAGTGATTAAGTAAAGTCATCCCAGGTTGAGTTATTTAGAATATAGACCATTTCAATGTGGTCATCATGTCGTTGGTTCAGGAACATTTCCTGCTTGTTAACTCATATTATAACTGTAACAAGAGGCAATTCAATCATAACGTAATTTTTAAAAAGCTGCCATAACATCATTTATCATTGTGTGGCTCTTTTTTAGTTCTTTGAAGCTATAGAAAGTTAAAAAAAAAAGTCAAATAGGAAGTACGTTGGAACCATTATTTTCGTTTACATTCCTCAAAATGGTCTATAGCCTCATAGGCAACACAATATTCAGCTACCAAGAATAAACCGTCAATATAAACACCAGTAGAGTAGAGGATGAATGAGTTGAGTTCGTTGGCTCGCTATAGAGGCTGGTTTGTAGTGTGCTGTGATTACCTGTCCTGCAGGTAAATCCATTCAGGCTCGTGTGGTGGCGCCGTTATGTGCAAGTATCTGCGATTCCTTCCGCAAAAGAAAGAAGGAAAAACTCGGCGATACCTGTCTCCACTTGCCGTTGCATGGACAACACCCGTGAAGCCAAATATTCAATCGCTTCACGACACATGAAACGCTACATGCAGACTCGTTTTGGATAAAACTATGAAACTGGAAAGGTTGTAGGTGCAATATCAGATGGACGACTAGTTAAATTCTGGAGTTTCACCTGAAGCCGAAAGAGTTCCTCGAAGAGTTTCACACGGGACTCAAAAGTTTGTCAAGGTGTGATACAGGAAGTACGTCTAATTCATCATGGTGAGTGCTTTTAAAACTTGATACAATCCATTGAAGTGATTTGGAAATGTAGTTAATAACCTTTTAAGAAACGCAGCTGGCTCTAAAAACCAAAATGTTTACAAAGTTATGATTGTTCGATAGATACTGATACAACATGAAGGCTGCGCTTTTGTTGCCCACGTATTTAATTATTGACAAAATAACAAACTATACTTTCTTCTAAAATCACTATAATTTTTTGCTAGGAATATTTAAAATTATGATAAGTCTTTTTTTCTTCCAAAATAAATAAATTAATTAAGATTTTGGTGGAAGGTATTTAGCTGGGATTTTGAAAACTATATAAAATGTAAATAAAATCTGCGGGGTTTTAACAGGTTGAAGTATATCTACATTTAAACGTATATGCTGGCTTTTGTCAGGTTTAAGGATCAAGTATATATTTTAAAAGTCTTTATTATGTATTTTAGACATTTACTTGTTATAACTAATATTTACAAATAGCTGCAAATTTAATCACTTGTCCAGTAAAAATGTTAAATTAGGGCATCAGGAGGGTCTGAAAAAGTCCTGAAATGTCTTAAATCTCAAAAGCTAAATTTTAGGCATTAAAAAGTCTTAAATTTATTGAAATGTTTTAGTTCTTGAATCTTTTTTTTTAACAGGTCTTAAAGTTTTTTACCCAAATCTGGCCAATTACACCCATACAATCACCAACTATCCATCTTAATAAAACTTTTAACTTTAATTAAAAATAGCATTTAATTAATTCCCTTACAGTTTATTTGCTTAACATTTCTTTATTTATTTACTGCTGAAGAAACTGACCTGACCTAGGTTTTGTATTATCAGATTATCATCATTGTAGACTAAAGTAATTGAAAGCTATGTTTTGTTCTATTCTTGATAAGGGTTATAGGGTTTGTGAATGGATGTGTTTGAAAAATTAATAATAAAAAATATATTCAAACAAAATTATTATTATTGCATTATTAAATGTAGTACATTTTAATAATTGTTTTGATAGGACAAATGAAAATATTTTCTACCTGGCATAGTTGAAACAAAATCCATAGTATTTAGTCCGGTATAAGTCTAAAATTTAATTTATGATGGTCTTAAAAAATCTTAAATTTAGCTTGGTGAAACCAGGAGAAATCCTGGAAAAGATCAGATTTTTTTTCTCTTATATACTCATCAAATTAGATTTTAGATCAATATATGTTAACGTTTTAAAAACATTGATACAATTTTAATCACTACAGCTTCAGAAATTCTCACAGATTCATTAGAGGACCAGCAAATTTATGTACAGTTCTTTTAAATAGTAGAAATAATGATATTTATAAGCCTGAAAATGTATATTCTATACTTTCTACTTGCCATATTTCATTTTTACCATGACACATTTTTAATTTACTATATGAAGAATGAACCCGAGTATTCTCAGACATGCCGTTTATGGATTATGCACGGTAGGGCTGGGCCAATAATCGAAAATTAATAGAAATAGACATTCAAAACCTATAATCAGTCAAATTTTCCTGGATGATTATTTCATTAACTTTCCTTATGTGTCACATGACTGTGAAGCTGTGACTGATTTCTTCTTCTGCGGCTACAGTTTGCAGTTGCATCTGATCTCCGGTCAAGTAGGACGATGGACTTATTCTTGAGCTTTACTTTGCACACATTGACAATGACTGGAAGCTGCGCCAGGCATTCCTTTAGATGGCATATAAACATCATTGTCAGTAAACTATGGGGGCTTAAAAATAAAATAAATGAAATAATCCTAATTGAGTTAAAATGTTCAATTAATCGAGATTTAGATTTTAGGCCAAGTCGCTCAGCCCTAATACAAGGAGGAAAGACGCTTGTATTTATCTCAGATTTTAATGCTTGATTCATAATTACCTGACTGAGCATTTTAAACATTTATTGCTGGAGGGTAAGAAGAAATGCCTCATGCTGCTGTGTTTTGTTGTATTTTTAGACTGCATATGCTTGACGTAATAATACCCTTGTAAAGCTAAACAGCTGCACACACACCTGACTTTCTGTTATTGTCAAAGTGTCCGAACTTTTAACGTTTCATAGAATAAAATATTGGAGATATGTAATTTCCTCCTTTCTCTGCTAACTCTGAGTTAATCAGTATTTTCTTCTATTTATTAACTGCAGCTCAATGTATAAATGTATAAAGCAGTTGAATGCATTTGAATAATAGTTATTTAACTAAACAGTGCAGCAGCGTTCATTCATTTGCGACCACAGAGATGAGCTTGAATAAATAACTGGTCCACTTTCTCTTTTGCGCAGGGGAGCAAGGAGAAATATCACTGGCAGACCCAGAATGTGAAGGTCAGTGGTGTGGATGACATGGTCCTCTTGTCTAAGATCACAGAGGACGCCATTACAGACAACCTCAAGAAGAGATACATGGATGATTACATTTTCGTATCCTTATGATTGCAATTATGTCCTTTTAGACTTTTTTTCAGACAAAATGTTCTGCAGCCCCAATTTTGAGCTTTGATAATAATAATAATTTTAATGATAATAATAACAGTAGTAGTAATAATAATAGATAGATAATTATAGAGCTCACAATCAGTATATTGATATGGAGCATATTGAGTACAATGACATTTCAAGGATTCTTTATTGAAGGCTAGTGTAGTAATGCTG